CACTTCGCAACAGCAATCCATTGAGAGCGAGAAAGAGCGCCGCGGTGACGGCCCAATGCTTTTTGCTTCGTGATCGAGTCAGTGTCGGTGGTGATGACAAAATACTATTAACACGCTAAGATGTAGCGTTGAACACAGCAAAGCCTTCGCCCACACAGTGCAAGAGACAGCCACGACGGGCTCGACAAATCCCGCCTTCATCCCTCCTCCCTTTTGAGATCTCTTTTTGCTGAGCGAGCAGGACCCCCAAGGCGACGACGTACGCTGGTGGAGTCCAGGGCGATGACGGTTGCAGGAGGGCTCTGCAGATGCCCTTGGGCGTGCAGGTGAGCGCTGGACCGTGAGGGGAGACTGCGCGCTGCAGCTGGTCGTGCGCGCTGCTTCTGGACGTGACCGTCCGCGCTGTCATGTGCGCTGTTGGATGAACTTGTGTTCGCTGCTGGCCGAGCAGCAGGATGGACTCATGCGCGCTGCTATCGGTTGGGATCGTACGAAGGTCAGTGGGTGCTGCTGTCATTTGTGTGATTTTAACTAACGGTTGACCTATTCTACTGACAATGCAGGCCCGTTTACTTTTGGCCTTCCTGCGGCTTGCCCAGGCACTCCCCCGCGTTTGCGCTTGTTGCTCCCGCGATAGACTAGCGTGTCGCGGCCCGCACCGTCAACGCCTCCAACAGTGCCAAGAGCATACAGGAGATGCACGCAGCACGCCATTTTGAACCACAGCCGACAAGGACAGCAGCGCAAGTTGATGTTCACATCCCACCCGGTTGCTGGCATTCCCATCAACTCCATTCGAGCTGTCTCGGCGCCAAGCTGAGCGGAGATTGGCAGGTCTTCTCGAGAGCGGCGCTCATGTAGGTTGAACACGCGTGATGCTGGTGATGCGACGACACTAACGATGTGATTTGCTGCATTCGAATCGGATCCAAGCAGGAACGCAATAGAGGTGCGCTCGGGCGTGAATTCCCGCAGCAGCCCAGCTCGAGCAAGGGCTCTAGCGCGTCTTACCATGCGGTCGTCAACTCCGGGCGATTGCGTGAAAGCACGAGCACGTACACTTTCACCTCGACACAGGATCAGGAGCTGATCAATCAATGCGCCAACCTTCTGCTTCCGCCTGAGCGTGACGTCACGCTTAATCGTGGCGTTATATGCCTCACAAGGATTATTAGTCGTTGCAAAACCACTCACAGTGTGGTAGCACTGCCAGCGCCACACACGAGCGTTCAGCCACACTGATCTGAAGTAGCTGACGAATTTGCGCAGCTGAGTGTAGCCTTCCCATTTGCCTAAAACCTCTGCCTTGCGCTCTTGAAATTCCGAGTCGCTCCTGGAGAAGTGCAGCTCGTGCAGATCACGCATGACCATCGCAGCAACGTTGGTGTCAAAGGATCGAGTCTTCTCGTAGATCTTTTTAGCCACATGGAAATAGCACATCAGAAACTTATACGGGCTGCCGTCTCCTCCGAAGCTTTCATAGAGCGCATTCCATTGCGCACTATCGGCATCTCCCATTGCAAAATGAACGCGGAGAGGCCTACCGGTCACTTCACAAAATACCTTTGACAGCATTGACAGGATCTCTGCATACTGAGGTTGCTGCTGCTGAGATGCTATAAAAATTGCAAGTAGGTGAAACTTTCTCGCACGATCCGAGATCCCAATTACAATAACTGGGTAGCCAGTCTGCGTGAGCTTGTATGTGGCATCCACGTGCAGAATAAAAGAGTCGGGATCACGGTCAGCTTGACGTAACAGTTTCTTCGTGGTAACTCCTACCACAAAAGGGCGAGCATCACTCCCATTTCCAACCATTGGTCTGTCATCCCTATCAGTCCTCCACGTGAACGTGAACGCTGCATTGTCTTCTTCGCGGTTCGTGAAGCCTGTCTTGCGTAGTTTCAGGCGAATAGCGCCCATCCGGTCACTGCCACCCAGCGTTGTCGTAACATGGTGATATACGAAGCGCTGGACGGCAGAAAGCGGTGGTACAGTCTCCTCATCGAGCCCAAAGCGCTGGATAAGCGCTCTCCAAATTCGGGCAGGGCGTAGCCCCTGCGCGGCCCAGTCTCGGGCGAGCTCCTTCATCGACGGCGTGAGACGAGGCCTGGTGAGGGACCGCACATGGGTGACATGCAAGTACAGCTCGTCGATGGCCACCACATCGTGCTCCTGGCAGGCTCGAACACACCCACGCCACGGGCACAGTGTTGCTGGTGCTGCTGCCGAGCAGGCGTCGCATCTGCAGCGTAGTAGCTGCGTCCGCATTGCGTGCGGAGCTGCGTCAGCGCAGACATTGCACTGGCCGACGTCACTCCAGGCAATGGAGAACGCTTTAAGCGTATCCAACAGCATATCGGCGTCCGAACGGGGCATACTTGGGGTGAGGGTGTTCCAGGCGAGCGGTCGAGGCATTGCAAAGGAATTGGCTGGTGGGGAGGTTGTGCAGTAAAATGCAGAGTGATGCAGCAGTTAGCAGAGCAGCTGAGGATGTTATTGGCTAAAATAGGTATATATGTTGGATCTGATTGAATAAAAATGCATTGTCGTGAAATTGGTGAATTAGTGGTTGTGGTGCGATGTATGTTGTGGTGGCCTCTCTTTAGACATGTAGTTCGCACATTTTACTGTGCTGTTGAATGTGTACTGTGCCTGTGTGTTTTTTTGTCGTGAAAAGGACACGTCCTCGGTGGTGATCAGCGTTCGTGACAAACGGGGCGATGAGTGAGGTTTCGGTCGTCACAAGGTCAGGCAGTCCGATTTCGTCATTTCGTCTAGCATGCGTGCCGCAGACTCTGGGCCAGAGGTGTTGGAGAGCTTTACGCCTTGTCCACTGCTCAGCTCGATGGAGATTTTTGCTGTAAGGCATTGGGCACCGCAGTTAGCGAGGAGCTCGTCACTACAGTTGCCGTACTCATCTCGAGATGACAGAGAACTGTACTTCAAGTCCACCCTTTAGTTCACTTTGGCTCGGAGAAGGGAACACGATTTGCTACGACACGCCACGGCAAATTTTACGTCATATTCGGATTCAGTATGCTAGAGAATTCCCTGGAGTGACATCCCTATGCGTGCACCAACACCCTCGTCAACGAGCTGCACGCGCGGTGACGGCAGCTCGACCGCCTGAGTCTCCTCCGCCGGCGGTTCCTCAAGCAGGTCGCCGATCATGGACTCCTGTCTAATGAGCGCACTCTCCATCATAGCCATAGTGTCCTCGACGTTGCCCAGCACGCTAACGAAGGCGGCTACAAAGTCGACGTACGTGTCGTAGCGATGGATCTTATTATCGTCCCCAAAGTAGAACGTATTCCCCACTGGGTACTCTAGCTGCTTGCCAATAAGACGCTGCACAAGTGCTTCGTTCCAAAGCACATGAGGGAATATTTTCTCGATAGTGCGTCGCGTGAAGCGCACGTAAAGCGTAGCGGGCGCGAGCACCACAGGGTTCGGATCCGCTGCCATGATTTGCAAGTTCTTGACCTCGTACTTGAGCCCAGCATGATACAACGAGTACTTTTGCCACTGATCCAGCAGCTCGCGTATGCCGTACGAGCTGCCGAAGACAACGTTCGGGTGCATGAGTCCGTTTAGGAAACCAGCCTGTCTGGAGGAGAGCAGCAGCTGGTCGGTCGGGACGTTCACGCTGCCTTGTTCGGCTACAGGTACACCGTACTTGAAGAGCGAGAAGTATTCGTTCACAACACTAGCAAACGATCCGCCAATCGGCTGTCGCACGAGTGGCCATGCTGTTGCGGTCTGTTGCTGTGAGCGTCCGTGGAGATTAAGCTGGTCTACCTCCTTCTTGAGTTGCTCTACTTGTTCCTCCAACGCCTGTACGTAGTTCTTCCGACGTGAACGGTACAGCTTGCCGCGCTCGCTGTTGGAGAGACGGCGCGAGCGCTTCTTGGACGACGATTTGCCAGTCGCACCGGCATTGGCACTGGTAGTTGAAGGCTGCTTGGTGCCATCGATGCTGCCCGTGTGACGAACGGGGGCTAGCGGCGGCAGGGACGGACCAGCGGCGGGGACGCGACCCTCGATCTCCATGCGGTCTTCCTCCACAGCGGCGCTGCAGAGCACTGTGATGTCCATGCGGCGGTCGTGCCAAGTCATAACGGACTGTAGAGTGCGATACCTGATTCCAGGACCTCAGCTCTTCGCGTGTCGAATTGCGAAGTGACCGAGTCACGAGATTTTGAGCTCTTGTGGTCGTCATCCTCGACCGCCTATCTAGTATCGTCTTCATCCTCCATAAATAAGTACATTAGCGCACGTCATTGAATAATAAATCTTCTACCAGTATACCAAACTGAATTAAAAATTCATCAAAGTACTGGTAAAACGATCATCTACTCAATTATGATAAATGCTGTCATGTCCAATCGAAGGTTTTAATTTTTCAATTACTGCCCTGTACAGTTGTATTTATTGAATATGAGAGGATTAATTTCCTCGGCTACAAATATTTAAATCTCACCTTGCGCTATCGCAACAGGTTTGGCAGGTGTATATGCTACCGCAGTATTTGCCGGCGTTATCAGGCAGTCCGTGATCAAATGGTGGTGTTTTCCGCATGCTTTTCTTTAGTGATTTGTTACGGCGACCTTGGTGACCGGGTTTCATGAGTGTCGTTCTGGGGCTGGTCTCTTATCGCGGCAGCCAACATGGCAATCAGGCGTGGTGGCGCTCATAAACTCACGATGCATTGCTGCAGCATTGTTGCAAATGGATGGCGATACCAGTGACAGCTCAGCGAAAGTGTCGCATCGGAAGAGGCTCGTCAGGCACGGCTCGCAGAAGTCGCTTCGTGTTGACGGCTTGAATCATCGTCGTCATTGCAATTTGCAATAGATTCGCCGAGCCGCCATGTCGGATGCCTCGTATCCTACAGGCTTGTACCGGTGTCACTAACACTGTCCGTGGGGCTGTTGAAGGTTAGTCTAACTGAACCGCCTTCAAGTGCTATATTGCACCAACAAAACTGCGTGTGTATCCAGGATACCCATGTTGCTGGTAAGATTTATTTTTTAATCGGAGAAATCTATGAGAATACCACTTTTACAAACACATTTACTCGCCCAATATGTACGCAAGTTTCATCTGGCTGGGCTGACGAGGCTCCGAGGTGCCGTTTATACCATTGAGCTTGTAGCTGGTTAAAGAGTTGCTAGCTGGCGAATCGCACGATGAGTCTTCGACCAGAGTGGGGTTCCTTACTTCTGCTGTGAACTCCGACTCCGTGAGCGCAAGCTGTCGGCCGTCGCTCTCGTCCCCAATCATGTGACCCTTCTTGATCAATGCATTCCCAATGACCCGAGCTACTACTACCGGGTCTTTCAGCACGCCCATAAGAGCACCTACAAAGTCTGCTTCCGGTGCATACCATTCGATCTTTCCGTCCTGACTGAAGTAGAAATGATTGGAACAAGGGTATGTGACCTCGAGTCCAATGAGAGATTGTACCAGCGCTTCATCTCCTAGCAAATGTGGAAATACTTCCTCAATTGTACGGCGCGAGTAGCGAACGCGAAGATCGGCCGTGATGGAAACCACCAGCGGTCCGGCATCGCATACTTGGACAACATTGAGCGATTTCATGGTCCACTCGATAGCTGCGTGATACAGTGAATAGCGCTCCCACTGGTGCAACAGCAGATCCACGCCCAGAAACTCACCGAAGCGCACATTGTCGATCATGATCGCTCTCAGGAACCCTCGTTGGGCATTGGTTGCCTGCGCCACGAGCGATGCTGACACGTCCTGCTCGTTCACAGCCAGACAAACAGGAGTTCCATGGCTAAACAGTGAGCAGTATTCGTCCACAATACGCGCTGCTGCACCCAACGGAGTACGACGTTGTGATACTGCTAGTTCCTGCTGTACTTGGTGTGATATCGTCAGAGCTGCAATCTCCTCGCGAAGACCGGCCACACTACTCTCGAGCTGTGCACTGTAGACCTTGCGTCTGCGTCTGTAGTATTTACCTCGCTCGCTGTTGGACATGAGCTTGAGGGCGGGTGATAGCGTGTCAGAGTGAGATTGGTTTGGTTTTGCGTACGGGCCAAATAAACTGCGGGGAAGCATGCCTGAGAGGGATTGGCGTTGCTGTTCTCTAGTTGGCGGAAAGAGAAGGAATGACGAGCTTGGACAGTCGCTGGAGCGCGTGTCGGAAGAAGCGAAGAAAGACAACGTTACGCCTGCAGTTCAACGGGGCGATATGCAATGTTATTAGCACACGCATTTCCGACTCATTTATTGTGATGGGAACATGGGAGAACGAGAGAGCTCAAACCTCGTAACTATAATACGCTCGTTGATTCCAGTGGTGTGTGTGGGGGCGATCGAACGGCAATGGAAAACGCATCGGGTGAACTTGACGTGCTGCGGTTCTATTGTGCATTTGTGGTCATCGGTAATGTACTGAGCAATGCATCTTCCCACTTCGAGGCTGTCGCTCCCAGTTTGTTCCGCTGGGTATGAGGTCGGGCAAAATTCAGTTCATTCCGTATTGTTATGCACGCCGCAAGCAATTGTTCGGCCTTCGTAGTTAATCAGTGGATTCCACCACTATTCACGCGGAGATTTTACTGTCGATGATGATCACTTCTCACTCTGTAGACAACTGACAGCACAGACTCTCAGCAACACTGTGGTAATAACATATTTGTGAGTCGAGGCCGTTAAGGTATTCGCCCAAGCCAGTAAGTAGTAACTTCCTCTAGAGGGGCGTTCCAAACACTTTTATTCGGCAGATAGGTGGCAGCAACTCGACAACGCTAACACACGAGTGCAAGCTAAGGCGCTCTATAGCAACAAACACAAGAGCATGTTCGTCTGTCAACCTTAATAACGTCCGAATATTGAAGTCTGACTCAGGCATCCTGAGTCAGGCTTGACTGAGTTACATTGCAGCAAAAAGAATCGATAAATCTCATTTGACTTCAACGTCTTTCCCATGACGAAACAATCACCAAGATCTTCCCGAACTGGCACCACTCACACGTCAAGTCCCCCTTACCATGAGTGTTTCATTTGTTTGTCAAAAACTACTAAGCTACCTTGATGGTGTGAAAATATATCGTAAGAGCATAGCATAATGTATTAATAAAAAGCAAGTTTAAAATGGGTATTTCACTCGGCTAGGATATAGGCCAGATCCAGTCTGTTCGGTAGCTTTGGTGACGACTGCGGCGACTCCGGGGATGGTTCATCGTCGCTCACTACGGCAACAAAGCCGTAATCTTCTCGGAGGTGCTTGTTGTTCGACCGGTTCTCAGGTATGGCAACCATCGACTCCTCATAACTATCAGTCTCGATGAAATTGGGATCCGTTGTCCCCTCGTGCTCATCGATAATCTCGACAACAGCAAGCTTCCGGCCATCGCTCTCGTCGCCGATCATGTGGTCCTTTTGTATCAATGCATGGCCGACTACGTGCGCCACCAGCTCCGGACTACCTAGCGCCTTCATTAGCGCACCGACAAAATCCACTTCGGGCGCATACCACTCGATCTTGCCATATTCGTTGAAGTGGAAGTGGTTCACGCACGGGTACGTCACCACCAGTCCAATGAGCGACTGTGTCAGTGCCTCGTCCCCCACCAAGTGAGGAAACACCTCCTCGATCGTTCGACGAGAGAACCGCACGCGCAAGTCCGCTGTGATTGACACCACCAGCGGACCCTCGTCGTAGCGGTTCTCCATAGTTAAAACGCGCGGCTCGGCCAGCTGCATGATGTTCAATGATGTCATCTTCCACTCGATGGCTGCATGGTATAGTGAGTAGCGCTCCCATTGGTCTAGCAGCAGCTCCACGCCCAGGAACTCGCCGAACCGCACGTTGTCGTTCATAATGGCGCTCAGGAAGCCACGCTGGGCGTTGGTGGCCTGTGCTACGAGCGACGCCGACGCGTCCTGCTCGTCCACGGCCAGACGCACGGGCGCGCCGTGGCTGAACAGCGAGCAGTATTCGTCCACGATGTGGGCCGCAGCGCCCAGTGGTGTGCGTCGTTGCGACAGCGACAGCTCCTGCTGCACCTGACGCGAGATCATCAACGCCGAGATCTCCTCGCGCAGATCGGCCACATGTTCTGCGAGGTGCTGGCCGTACAGTTTGCGTCTGCGTCGGTAATACTTACCGCGCTCGCTGTTGGACATGAACTTGAGGTTGGGCGGTGGCGCATCGTCATATGGAGCCGCGCGGTGCTTCTGTGTAGGTCCTTGTGCTGGACGGGCACCCATAGCTGAGCGGACGGGGGCGAAATGGCGAGTGGCAATCTAGAAAGTGGTCGTTAGCACACGGTATAAATAGGCTGCAGAGTTTCGAGGAATCTTTGATACAGTTACACTGATTGAGGACAGGCCAACATGACCGCTCGTTTGCAAACCTCAAGCACTTGACGAAACTTGATGAGTTAATAACTCGAGCGGAGCGCTTGCCTTCGTTCCGCACACTTGACAGCTCAATAACCCGAGTGCTGCGAGGTTGCAGAATTAGGCTCACTTTCGCAGCGGCGACAGCTACAAAACTAACCTAAGTCGTTGTAGGTCCTACCTAGTTCATCCAAATTGGTCATGTGGCCAAAACTGCACTGACACGTGACGAAAGATCGGAGAGAGGAGAAAGACTCACCAGCATTACGTCTCTGTTGGAGAGGCATTCTAATATCGCCAGCGGAAAGGCGTCATACTTTTCCCTTCCAGGCTGCACAGAAAACGTCATAAAGCACTTTTCCTGAAAAAAAGTTCTTGCCTGATCTGCTCATAGCTTGTGGCCCACCATAATAAAAAAAGATCAAAAGTGGTCCAAATCCAATGCGCACTTTTCGCTACAAAGTACTTTTTATTCAAAAAGCCATTTTATATATTTTTTTAAACTTCAACAAAATGTTAAACTCAATTTTGATTAATTTAGACAATTCAAATTCTACTTGGAACATAAACTTCCAAAACAATAGCCATGGATTTACTCGAGACCCGCGAAGCCGCGCTGCGGACCAAGGTGCTGGGCACGTCGTCGTCGCCCACTGCTCCCTCTCCGCTAGTCGACCGTCTGCGCAGTCTTCAGTTGCAGCTGGATCAGCTGTCCACCGTCGTCGCGGGGTCCGTCAAACTCCGCGAACTCTGTGCGTAATAGCACTTCATTGTGAATATTAAATTAGAGAATCCCTAACACATTCCCGCAGATCAGGAGCACGCCGGGCACTTGCAGCTCACGTCCGCAAGCACCTTCGCACACAGCAGCTCCAGAGCCGGTGATGAACTCAAGCGCGCGGCCATCCTGAGCTCGGCGGACCGCCTGCAGCAAGTCTCGGCCCAGCTGCAGCAACTGCAACAGTTGACGTGCGTCCTGGACCAACTGCGAACGCCCGACGCTCAGCAGCAGACGAAGCTGAAGCAGCTAGAGAATCAGAGCGAACTGCAGAGCGAACGTGCTCTGGCGCTCCACTCTAGAGTCGAGAAGGTGCTCGCCACGTACCAGCAAATGATCTTCGTGCTGTCCGAAAAGTGCGTCGAGTACAACGCGCTACTGGACCAACTGCAAGTCTAGAGAGAGCAAGAGTGTAATAAATGTCGCCTGGATTGAAATGCGGTGAACGGTGCTGTCTGCGGTTGCTATTCGGACCAAACAGGCCTCGTCCTGTTAGTATTCTACATTATTATTTCGTACTATTATTCAGGTGCAAGTGTCCTGGGGATCCGCTTGCTGACGAACGAGGTCGGTGAAGCTGACGTAGTACAAATGATATTCAGCCTCCAGTGTTTGCAGGAGCGACAAGTTGTCTGCCGCGGCGACGTCGTATTCATGCGCCGCGTTGAGGAACGTCATTGCGTCCAGTTTATCGTAGCTCACGCCCGTCATCTCGTGGAACTTGTGGATCCGGAAGTCCCGAGCGAGTTTATTCACTGTGATCCCGTCGGGTGATTCTATTCTGTCGTCGTCCACGACGTTCGCGTTGAGCTCCGAGTCGGACGTCATACTGCGTCGGTTCCAGTTGGCAGAGCCTACGGACGGATAAACGTCATCAATTATGACGATCTTGCTGTGGATGTAGATATCCCTGTCGAGTTTGGTAGTGTAAACCTTAAACTTGTTCGGATACTTGTTCGGATATTGCTTCTGAAAGGGTGCCACACATCTCGTTGAAGTAAGTACCTCTCATATCCGATAATTTTGATCATCTATGAGAGAAAAACTTTCCGTTGAAAATGTCACTATTGCCGTTGGATAGCATTCAGACGAAAAAAAACCATTAAAATTTTAATGGGTTTTTTTCGTCTGAATGCCATCCGAGCCAATCAGCATGCGTGACGACGAGATTTTGGAACTATGTGAATGCCATCCAAGCCTATATTATTACGATCCAAAATTGGACTTTTTTGTGTGCGACGACCATTACTTTCTGTAATCGCGGGATTACCTCCATTAGCGCTTCGAACAGCTCGGGAACGAGGATGAAGTACTGATCCTCGATATAAATGTAATTCCTAGCGTTCTTGATAGCCTTGATACGCGCGTGGAATAGCGAGTTCCCGCCACTTGGAGCGAACTCAGTGTTTGTACTTACAACTGAAAGTTCGAACGATCTGTACGTTTTTAATACCGAGCTGCGATGTAGTATTACTACTGACGTAGTCCAGCGGAGCAGTTGCTTAAACTCTGGGTTTTCAAAGTCGAGAAGGTCATCTGCAAGGCCCTGGCAAGGTTTGTAGTCCGAGTTCCAGCGAGCAAGAAAGCTGTTAGCTACACCTTTAGCTGCAGACCCGTGAATACGGAACTCGCCGTCTACCCAGCCTTTGTGTCGGAACATAATCCCTGCTGCGTCGCGAAGTGCCGAATTATTGTGGTAAATAGTATCCCAGCGATCGTTAGTCAAGTCCAGTCCTCCCACGTACGCTATTGGGTGGTCATCATGTCCTAAAGAGGTATTGGCAGCGATCACTAGTGTTTTCTGGTGGTGAGACCCGGTGATTGAGCCCACCCCGGTCATCGAAAATGAATGTCGCTCGAGCTCCGTTAACTGAGGAAGCAGGGAGACTGTTAACAGCATCGCGAGCTTCGATGTTATGTCCGCGTCGGAGTAGATTAGCCCAGGCCAGGATGCTGACCTCCCCTCCACGCTCCACGACGCCCGAGAACACCTTGTGGTATCCTGATGTATGGCCGGTAATATCGACATCGGGTTTGAGCTGAACGAGCTTAGAATCCCACGCTGCCAGCAGGATACGATCACCCTCTCCAGCTGCTGATAAATCATCGTAGACTGCGTCAAAGTACTCTTTCGTAATGGTAAAAGCCTTGACGGCGTTGCCTGTAGTGTAGACCGAGAGATCATTCCGAGGAACTCCGCCGCGAGAGTCTGTAATCTCCTGTTCTGTGAGAAACCAGTCGGTGGCTTTAAGCAGAGTCTGCTCAATTGCCACATCGGAGCCATTCGAGAAATCAACATCGCTTGATAAGGCAACGACTGCAGGTGCAAGGGCACAAACCAACATGCATGCAACCTTGATCGCGGAGCGCCAACGGGACGAGTACCGCGTCATTTCGATCTGCGTGGTCGGCGGCGTGAATCGAGAAGTGTACTGGTCGTGAACTTCCAGCGATGACGCTCAAGAGATCAGATCTAGTCATTGCCAATAAACATAATTGACCGACCAGCCCAATGCAGGGAGGAGATATCCAGTGAATCTGTTCGTTTGGCAGTTTGCATGAAGAAGGAAGCAGGTGCCTGTATTATATCTCGGGATGGGATTTTGGCGAAGTGCTCTGGACCATGTAGGCGTGTCTGAGTGGTGAAATTCGCTACACCCAGTACTATACGTGTTAAATATTGCTGCAGCGGACATTCATCGCGACTTCAAGAATAGTTGTACTCACTATGACTTCTTTCTCTTAAAAGTGGCTCAATATTTTTTTGTCGCGTAAGTCCACGATGATTCACTCATAAGCGTCAACGCCTCAGGTTTTATTTAGTACCCACCCAAAAAGTATCTCTGTTGTTTATGCCATTCTTTTTTTTTTTCAGGCCGTCGAGTTCAATTCGGGCTGTAGACGAAGGTGCAAAACGAGTACGGACAGTAACTGATAATTTATGACATGTAGCCACTGCCTCCCCCCGAGAGAAAACTATCGCTCGTACTCTCTTAAACTCAACCGCTCTACTCTATTGAAGATCCCTCATGGAACCGTCGCCCGTAAAGCTGCACACTTCTTGCGGATCAACCTGTTCGCGGAACTTGCTGATGAATGTTTCGTAGTAGAGACTGTACGAGACACTAAAGTCGGTTAGAATAGTCGACTTGCTCTTCGCAGCCACCTTGAATTCGTCTGCTGCATCAATGAACTTCATCGCGTTTAGCTTCTTGTAACTCAGTCCAGTCATCTCCACGAACTTGCGAATACGCATATCCCGAGCCAGCTTCAGTACAGTGATACCATCAGGAGACTCCACTGTTTCATCATCGATCACATTTGCGTTGAGCTCCGAGTCCGACGTCATACTACGGCGGTTCCAGTTAGCTGAGCCCAGTGATACGTATACGTCGTCAATGAGTACGAGCTTAGTGTGGACGTAGATGTCGAGTTCGGCTTTAGTAGTGTAGATCTGGACCTTGTTGGGGAATTTTTCCTTCATGGGGTGAATCATCTCGTAGATATATCTCCCGTACCCCGACGCCTTAAGTAGAGCATCAGGAGGCTGGAGCACCACAATAAGCCTCTGAATTCTGGGCAAAACCTCCATAACTGCATCGAGGAGCTCTGGTACGTAGATGAAGTACTGATCCTCGATGTAGATGAAGTTTTTGGCGTTCTTTAAGGCCTTGATACGAGCTCTAAAGAGAGACTGTTCACCACGCGGCGCGAACTCCTTGTAGTGTTTGTAAATGCAACTAAAAGTCCGAACGATCTGGATGTTCTGGTTGCCCAGTTTCGATGAGGTATTGCTGCTTGCATAGTCGATCGGGGGCAGTTTTTCATAGTCCGGATTGTCGAAGCTAAGCAGATCGTCTTCAATCCCCTGGTTCGGTTTGTAGTCCGAATTCCAGCGCTGTAGAAAGTTGTTGGCCACTTCTTTCGCGGCCGGTCCATGGATACGGAAGTGTGCGTCTACCCAGCCTTTGTTACGAAACGGGATATTGGCAGCTTCTCGAATGGCAGTATTGTTATGGTAAATAGTGTCCCAGCGATCGTTGGTAAGGTCAATACCGCCAACGTACGCAATAGGGTGGTCGTCCTTTCCTGTCGACTTGTTTGCTGCGATGACGATCGTCTTCTGGTGGTGAGACGAGGATGCAATGGGGAGTCTGTCGTCGAAGAGATACAAGGCTTTGGCTCCGTTGATTGGAGACGGAGGGATTTTGTTGATCGCATTCCGTGCCTTGACGTTCTGAGAAGTGAGTAAATAATTCGACCACGACAAGATGTTGACGCTTCCTCCGCGTTTCACGATTCCCTTGAACATGACGTCGAAGCCCGTCGTGGAACCTGTGGGGTCAATGTCAGCCTCGAACGGAATAAGACACGTATCCCATCCGGAATACATGACGCGATCGCCCTCCTTAGTCGCCCGAAAATCGTTCACAACCGCAGTAAAGAACTCGTTCGCCACCGTGTAGACCGTGACATTATTACCGGTCGTATACGTCTGCAGTCCATCACGAGGAATTCCACCGCGAGACGCGACGATCTCCTTCTCTGTGATGAACCAGTCTTCAGGCTTAAGAAGAGGCTGAGTCACGTTAATGTCGGTACCATCGGAGAGATCCTCGGCCTCTTGCTTCGCTGGAGTTTTCGTGTCGTTTTGTGAGGTGTTCCTGGCATCTGAACCGGATTTATCGTCATCATCGTCGCCTCCAAAGAGCGACGAGAACGACCATGCTGATGACGGCGTCGGCGCAATGGTGAGCGCACAGATTAACGCAAGAACGAGCTTAGTACTGCGTCGTGCAGTACGGACCTTCATTCCGGTTTGGTATCACCCTTTGAGGGAGTGCGCCGCTCGACGAGAAAGCGATTGTGCTGTAGGATCATTACGCGTGCCTCGAGGCCCACACAGCGACAATAAACAATTGATGCTTCTTTATAAAGAAGTGTAATTAAAGTCGGAAGCATGCTATCCTCCGATGGGGCCAAGAGGGACAGCCGACGGGACTTGGTGTTCACAGACAGGTGTCTCGATACTGAGATCCATATACGTAGAATAGTGTCACAATTGAAAAGACAGATGATCAAAAGAGGTGAACACAGTTCAAATCTCTGAAATCTAGGCTCGCAATGCATAGTCGGACACAAATACTGGAGCGGTTTTGCTACTCAGGTGAGGATGAATGGCTCCATCCAGTCATAAAGTTGCTGAGCATGAGAGGCGCCAGGAACTAGACCGCTCGCCTACACCAGGGCATCATTAGCGTCCTTAAGAATCTAGAGTCGATAGCAGCGAGAAAAGGTTTCTACCGAAATATCAGTGGTACTATTTCCTGTTTTTCTTTTTATCACGCAACGCTGCTCGAGCCCTGCTGATCATAATGCTCGTCCATGCACTACCAGCTTGTTCCGAAGAGAATCTCTCGGATGTGCTTTTGACATCTGGCGGTCCACCAGTATAGTACCGGTACAAGTGTACACTACATGTATTTTTTTTTGTGGTCCACAGAACCACTCCGTGTCGGTTTGGTCCGAAGATCGGACCAAATTTTAGCAATTTTAGTCAGGCAGAAAGCAAATGCATCGTACAAATGCGAACAGTCACAAAATTTGCCACATCGATTTAATCCTTTCGTATTGGTAGATGTAGCTCACTTCAAGCCGCATGATCATGTTTCGTCTAATTTACCACTCTGATCGAGTTGGACACGTTAGCCGTGTGGAATCAAACATTCTCTACTATCTCGGCGTGTGCCATGCCAGTGGCATGGTTGTGACATGGCATGCGCCGAGATACAGTTTACGCTTCCGTCCGATGAGGAAGTTTTTCGTATGCGCGAGACGGAGAAGCAGCGAAAGGAAGAGGTGCGTCCCAGCTGACTATCCGATCTGTACTTGAAGCTACAGTCTCATGAGGATTCTACAGGAAAAGAGCAAGAACTCGCGACTCAAGATCTACGATAAAACCACGGCGTCGTCCAAGATTGGAAATATTCGTCGCTTCCGCTCCGATGACGCGGTGAGGCAACATTCAGAACAGCAGTTAATGCATCTAAACATCGTACTGGGAATGGTGTTATTTTTTGTCGGTCGATAACTGGATGTCGATAACTGGATAAAAATGGCCAAAAGGAGGTGACCACATCTGTCAACGAAACAACTCGCTTCAACAAATATCTATCTATATTTTTCTGCTTATTCATACTATCGCGGATCACTTCTTCCGCTCAAAAGTATTGGACCGACATACAAAATGATTGCTTTAGGTGTGGTATTACATGCATGGTTCTGTGCGCATTATGCACGGTTGTTTCACGCAATGCATTCTACAGTAAAGCCTCTTCCTAAATGAGCCCTGGGAAACCTGATATTCTGTCGTATATGATATAATTTTGGTCCACCGAGTCGGTTCAAAGTGATTACTGGGTGACTCCTGAAATCACAATTTTTATGCGTACTATTCGAGAAAGAGACCCTACAGCGGAGCATTTTTGTGATGCTTATTTTGTGACGTACTTGAGGTTGCAACTAGAGTGATTATACCATGACATCTTATACAATCATTCGGAATACAAAACTAAATGTCATAATATTGCAGAGCTATAGTAAAGCCGTTCTCGAAGTCTGGACTAAGTGAAAACACTTATACTTATTAACTAAAAGTTAGGCACAGCGTGATGGTACCTCCGCATTTATCGTGGGGTTACAGGTAAGCTGGTGAAATACTTGGGGACTGTAGGTGGTTAGGGGTGAAGCGACAGCATGCGGCTACCGGCTGGACCCTGTAGCAATGCGTTTTATTGGTGGTGAAGATCACTCCTTTTATTTAAAAAAAAATGCTGTCCCCCCTCAGCCTTGCCGCCCTGTTACGACGACGGCAACGCAGGCAGCAAGATCAACGTGGGCCCTCCGCTTAGCGTCGAATGCAATATCGTTTTGCAAGAAGGGCTTGCTACCACCGCATATGTCTGCGTTTCAGCGGCTGTACGGGTCAGGGTGCCACCAGCCTCTCATCACACTGACTGGGTTCCACTATGCTGGCTTTTGCTATTTTACTGGCACGCTTTGAAGATTTCTTCTACCAATACTCGCCGTACTCTGTTCATGGTTCGATTGTCAAGTTGAAGCCAACGACAACGAGGTCTGGGCGACCGCGCTCGATGGCAGCAGATCAGTGCTTGGCGTTGATGATAGCGTGGGGGCGCTTAGCTGGACCAGCGTCATTCTTAAGCCTATTTGGTGTGACAGCATCAGTGATGTCTCTCATTCTTCGCTTCGGCAGACGCCTATTGGTGCTAGTTCTGAAGAGCGACACCAAAACTCAAGTCAATTTGCCAACATCAAGTGAAATAAGCCGCCTCCAAGATGCGATCGGGGCAAAATATCCATGTTGAGCTCTGTGTACGCTGTTATGGACGGTCTCAAGCTTCGTTTGCAGGCCTCAGGTCACTCTGAAATTCAGAACATGTTCGACAACGGCTGGACGCATGACCACTACGTCAGCAATGTGTTCGCATTCTCGCCTGAAGGACTCATCATTGCGTGTGCGCTCAATGCACCTGGGTGTATGTATGATTCTCCAATTGCGGAGTGGGGGAATGTGTATGCCAAGCTCGAACGATTCCACCAATCTACGGGAGGACATGTCGTAGTTGACTCTGCATTTTCTAAAGGAACGTATGACTTCCTGCTGAAGAGGGGAGAGAACGCTGCTTTGCTAACCGCTATTGACAGAGAGGTGACAGCACTACGCCAGTCAGCCGAGTGGGGAATGCGAGCTCTTCAAGCTGCTTTTCCTCGTTTAAAATATAGACTGAAGTACGAGGAGAGAGGAGAGCAGAAGTGCATCTTGCTCTCAATAGTGCTGTTGTTTAATCTTCTCACACGTCTAGTTGGATTGAATCAGATTTTATCCACTTTCTACAGTAGTAGTATCGGCCGAACAGCTAACGATCTCTTCTGTAACTAGTTAAGGGCTTACTCATGAGGTTTAAAAGCCGCACCAACGACGGTCATCATCATCTGCATCAGCTGCTCGTGGCGATGGTCAGCTTCCTCGCATCGCAAACGCTCGTCCAGACGATCTTGATCACGTTGACGCCGCTCTCCTTCCCAGGGCAAACGTTCCTCTTCTTGACGAAGACGCCGCTCTTCACGCTGTGTGCGCCCATCAACTTGACTCTGCAGTAGTTGCATTCGCATCAGCTCCATGATGTCCTCGTCACCGGAGCCCGTGCTAGCCCGTGACGAGAGGTCGAAGAACACTAGATTCAGCTGCTCTGGTAAACTCTGGAGCATTAGCTAGACCAGCCGTCGCCGGCTGACCTGAGGCTGATTGGGCTACAGGACGCTCCGTTGGAGCTGGGTTTATCGGTGACACTTGGCTGGGGTTATCGGTGACACTTGCTGGGGTTAATTCTGGCTTGATTCAGCGACGACACCGATGTCTGTCCGTTCGCACCTCTGCTGGGCATGTAGGATTACCAGTAGGTATGCGGGAGCGGCATAAGGCAGCGAACTTCCTTCGTAGTGAGTCGACCGTGCGGTTGTTGGCGCTAAAACTTCGATTGTGGATAGAAAAAACCAGCTCCCGCTCGTCGCGCCCCAGCGGTAGATGCTCTTCTAGCGTTTCCAGGAAGCTCTGCAGCTCGCCAGCACCGAAACCTGCACCGCGTCCACCAGGTGCGGCAACACGATCTCGACGGGGCGCACGAGGAGTCATTGGAGGCGGTGGCGTTGATGACATTGACATCGGCTTGAAAGATGGTTGCGAAGTGACACTTTGGTTTAAGAAAGGAGAGGGTTTCGGCTGGAGAGTGAATCGATTGCAGCACCACAATTGTCCCTGATCTAGCAACTTAATTTGTGTTTGTTCGCACTATTTTTCTCTGTGGAGCCAGCAACAACGAGCATAATCGCGTCACAAATGCGCCAAAAAAAAATAAACAAATGTGTGTCGCTAATATAAAATATGATTTCAGGAAGCACCTACTATGGAGTAAACTTGATATTGCACAAATGAGACACCGTCAAACAAAAAGTGCCTAATCGACCAGTAATTAAATCGCGTTTGAAGCACATCATAGAAAAGATGGGTCTTGGCTTCCAAATGAGACCTAAAAAAAAATTCCATTCAGCCGTTTCGGAGAAATCGGTCGACGAAAATATTTTAGCATCTCAGAGACCCAAAACCAATTTTTGTTTTTGATGAGAATTCAGCGAGGATTCTCGTAGTGATCTCCAGTTTAGCTAATTCAGATTCTAAATGCTTCATTTTGCTGTTTTTGTTGTCCACACCAATGTAGCCATATGTAGTTTCTGAATTTATTTCTGAAATTTAGAAACATGTGGTAAGACGGAGGTAAGTAACATTTCGAATTATCAGGAACATAACGACATTAAGTCTTTCTTCTGTTTTTTTCGCAGGGCTTCCGGAGGCATCGGTATCAGCCTCATCCTCGGTCTCGTCCCTGCCTCGACGATCCTGGTTTGCTTGGGCAGCCACTGCCATGGCAGCACGGTGAGCACGTCGCGCCTGTTTTGCTTCTTTGGCGTCAATCCCTTCCCTTTCACTTGGTTTTGCGTACAGGGGGTCGTTTCGGAACTCCTCTGGTACGTATGGTCTGATGTTGTGGTACATGGTGTGGCTCTTTTCCACGTTCGGTGGAGGCGGGGGCAGCACTTCGACATGCTCGCACATCATTGTTGTCACCTTCTCCTTCGTCGTGAGAATGCCGTCTATCTTCCGACGCAAAT